AAGAAAGAAAAAAAAACGATTCTTTTGCCCACCCAGGTAACTATAGATTGACACTGTGATTCCCCTACTTTCTCCACAGGCCGTCTTCCCATCAAAAGCTCCAAAAGAATCACACCGAAGGCATACACGTCACTTTTGTCTGTAAGTTTACCTGATCAACATTCGTAAAGAATTAATGGCCCAATAAGATGCTTTAACAAAAAAAAAAAAAAAAAAAAATGTTTTTCTAATAGTAAACTCCTTACCATCTAATAGGTACTCTGGGGCTACATAGCCCAATGTTCCCGTGAGCTTGATGTTCGTCTTGATTGAGTTCCCTTCAGCGATCGCAAGGCCAAAATCTGAAATCTAACAACAAAGGGCCAACAAAAATGAGCTTAACGAATTATTAGTTAAATGTATTGCGAGTGTTTTCTTCAGTAATGTTATTACCTTGGCATTGAGGTTGAAGTCGAGAAGAATGTTAGATGACTTGAGATCTCTATGAATCACGGGCGGGTCACAATGCTCATGCAGGTGCTCTAATCCTCTGATTTAAAAAAATCAAATAGTTAAAAATATTATTACCATTAGAAAAGAACATTGGTTATAACTTAAATCTACTTGGCATGTTTCTTGAGTAAGAACCGTGTCGTGTAAAGAGAGTAATGAGTGAAAAATAGTAAAAAGAGAAGTAATCAGTGAAAAAAGATGACTATCTTTTTTTGTGATTAATGACAAAATTCAGAGGTAGTTTCTGTAGTTAACCCTTCCTATATATATGAAGAAGTTTCATACATAGTAATCTGGACAATACCTTGCAACATCAAGAGCAATTTTCATTCTAAGTGGCCACGTCAATGTCGATCTACGAGAAGGTGCTGAGGAGAAAAAATCATTAGAATGATCTTAAGGATAATGAAATTAACACACACACACACAAAAAAAAGAAAAGAAAAGAAAAGAAAAGAAAAGGCACAAGTTCACTTTGAAGTTGCAAATACCTCCTAAAATTTGCCTTCCTTTACATATCCATCATTTTAAACAATTTGTGAAATAAGATTAAATAGTAGCACCACAATTTCAAAAAATAAAAATAAAAAATAATAAGAACACGGAATATTTTTAAATATTGCTCAAACTCGGGTATTTATGGCTATCCATATCTTTATTTCAGCCTAACAACACAGAGAAACGAATTATATACCATGCAAAATTAAATCGAGCGAGCCGCCCTCCATCATTTCATAAACCAAGAACCGTTGTTGTTCATGCACGCAATATCCTAATAGAGAAACTATATTCTGATGCTGAATTTTACTCAGTATTTGGACCTCATTCTGCAATTTTCGAGAAAGAAACAATAATGAAGAAATAATCAGCAAAAAAAGTATATACATTCAATTTCTGCCACATACGTCCTAAACGTTACCTCATACTGTCTTTGAGCTTCTTGCCAATCAGCACATATTTTCTTAACAGCTGCTTCAAAATTATCACTAAAACAAGCCTTAAACACGCGGCCTAACCCGCCTTCTCCTAACAATTTCCGTTCGTCGAAATTATTCGTGGCAATCGCCAGCATCTGGTAATCAATAGAAGCAACTGAACCCTTTTTGCTACCAAATTTTGAATAACGAAAATTATTCGGGACTGGAATTAGCGATATCCCTTTAGCGGAACCTGTAAAATTCGTAATTTAAATATTGATAAATCAACAAATAATATACAGAGATAGAGGGAGAGGGATCGAGAATTAACTTTTTATAGATAGAAAAAATAACCTGAGTTTATATCATTTGTGGCATTACTGTATGTTCTTAGCCTTTTCAGTCTGTAGATAAAAGAACAAGATAATAGCAGCAAAATTCCACCAACAAGAGATGAGGCCACAACAACAGGAACAAGAACTTTCTTGCTTAAATCATGGTGGTGGACTACTTTGATCTCTGCAACTTTGCATTTTTTTATTTTTATTTTTTTTTTATTATTCATTATCATTACAGAAAATAAAATAAAAAAAAAAACATGAATTAGCTTCAATTAAAGAAAACAGTAACAACAGAAAATTATAAAATAAATGAAAGGCCAGAAGTATGTAATCATATCTAACCCCATCAGAAAACAAGGATCAAATCAAACACACACAAATCTAAGTGAAAACACACACAATCAAACAAACAGTTCCAATCAAAGATCACCACAACTGAATCTAAATCCCAGAGCTACCATCTCTCTCTCTCTCTCTCTCTCTCTCTCTCTCTCTCTCTCTCTCTCTCTCTCTCTCTCTCACACACACACACACACACTCACACACACACACAGAGAAGAGAAAAAAGAATGGAAAAGGGATACCTGGAGAATGAGCTATTGAGTTAGCAGAACCATGACCATTGTGGAAAATGGGATTGCCCAAAGGGGGATGAACAGAGGAAGAAAATAGAGGGCAGCTAAAAAACCAAATGGGTACAGTCACCAAATACAAAACCCTCATTTCATTTGTTCCTCTCGAACAATTTCTCAGAAAGGATATAATATTAAGTTCAAATTTGGAAGTGTGCTTTAGCAAAGCAAAATTGTTCTGTTTTTATGTATTTAAAATGGTGAAAAAAATAAAAAGATAAAAGAGAAGAGTAGAAGAAAAGGTAACATGGGAGGGACATTTATTAAAGTTCTTGATTTTATAAAAGTATTTGTCTTCTCTAGTTGCTAAGTTCTCAAGCTATAAAGAAAGATATTAAAACAAAAAACATAAGAAGAAAAAACATCTCATATGAGCATATGATGAGATGATTTAATATCTATCACATAGGGGGAGGGGAACCTAAAGTGTCTCCCTCTTTTTAGTTTTCAACCCTCCCTCAATCTAATCGGTCACAATTATTATCTGCACTTTTATTATATTAAACTAGTACGTATCCCGTGCGATGCACGAGATAAAGATGTTAAATGAGTTATTTTCACAACCTTGTCCGTTTAAGTTTGAAAAGTAATAATGTTATTATCTATTTTCTACCTCTTTTAATTAACGTTAAGTCTAAAAAATTATTAAGCCGCCCTCTGACAAATATGTATGGAGTTATGTGTTCGA